CATGGGAACACAAAGACGCCGCACGAAACCGGAAACCGAGGCAACTGCCATGAACACGAAAGCGAGGCAAATGTTACATCCAAAAAATCTCAAAAGGACACAGCATCCAGCCGTGACGTCACGATTAGGAAGCGTTCTCCTTCGTCGAACGCAATAAATTACGCTTAAGTTACGAATAATTAAAGTATATATATTATAATAATTACGCTAGCATGAAGTCGAGGCTTCAACCATATATGGCTTTCAACAAAGAAAACCAGAGGAAAGAGCCTGGGAACGAGGTTGCAAAGAAAACATGGCTGTTCTTTTATAAGAGGAAACTATATATAAAAGCATTATAAAGAAGTGGGTTTTTTTACTATTTTTAAGGTTTGTAGAGAGTGTATTATAGAGCGTTAAGTAACAAGTGTTTGTATTCGAATATGTGTTGTGATAGAAGTCTCAAAAATGTGTTTAAATATGTAACATTTGTGCAGCAAAAAGTATCGCTGTATCGTACTATTCGTGTATTATAAATGTCATGATAATAAAAACTCTGTCTGAATTGTGACAGTTACATGGAAAGGTAGAAAAAAACAAGTTCTGCAAGCGACGTAGCAAATTGTTTTATACTTTTATTAAACACACAATAGTACTTGTATTGAAAATCAGGACATCCTCACATCCATACTCATCCCAGGGTGCATTCCATGTAGAGTGCACGCCGAAGTTCCGCCGCTGGAAAATTCGCACACGCCGCCAGACTGCCAGATTTATTTAATCTATATTTTGGCAAAATTTTACGGCGACCTCCCCCCCTCGCCAAAAAAATTTCGGTCAGTGTGCCATTTTAGGGGTCAAAAATGTTTTCCCGACATGTCATCGTTAAACTCGTTAAAAATAAAACAGCGTAAATTTAATTGAATTTCAAGCAAATCCTTCGTAGTGTTGTGGTTTAGGCGTGCGCCCGTATTGCGTGCGCCAAATTTTGGGATCGATTCCTGCTCGCGCCACTATTTTATTATTTTTTTTTATATTTTTTTTTCTTCGTGATTTTCGCTTACGCACCGCGTACGAAACGTATAGCGTATCGAATATGTTGTTGCTTCGTTCTTAAGAAACAACGCAACCCTTTTAGTGGTTTAGTGTTAGCTTTTAAAGCGTTGTCGGATGAATAGCCGTGAAGCAGGAAGATCCGGTGTCGGACGAATATCCACGGAGAACAATTTTTCCCGGCATTACCAAATTTTCTCCATTTATCCAACTTTTTTTTCTTAAATCCGAAAATTTGGTACCATTCTCTAAAATTTTTGTCAATTTAGCTCATTCTTCTCCAAATTCACACTTATTTTTGTTAATTAACTTTCTCTGGGCATAGAAATTACCTGAATTTGTGTTCATTTACCCGAATTTCTTCTGCAAATCTACCTGGATTTACCTGAAATTGCCCACATGAGCAATTATTGGGGGGGGGGGTGTTACACCCCCACACACCCCGGTCGGCACGGCCCTGCGCGCGAGTGGTTTTAGACACAATAAAACACGAGTCGCGAGTTTATTGAAAGGTTTCAAAAACAATTAGGGGCCATTCACAAAGGATGTCCGAGCCGAGGGGGGGGGGAGGGGGGTTTGGAAAATCAGGACAAACTCGGACATAGGGGGGAGGGGGGGTTTTAGCAATCCGCATGTCCGAAATTTAAAAAAATTCAAAAACAAATTTCTTTTTTCCCTCTATTTTGAGCAGTCCTTCCCATTGTGAAATTGGCATTTTGACTATGCGGTTAACACTAGATTTTGTTTGAATTAGTAATTTATATGTTTCTGTGTTCACATTTACAGTTATAAAAAAGTTCTAAAAGTAAAAGTTTTTTACTCTTGATATATACAAGAATGCGTGAGTTTTTGCGAGGCATGGCGGATGTCCGGGGGGAGGGGGGGGTCACTAATTCGGACAATGCCGGACAAGGGGGGGAGGGGGGTCTGAAAATCCATCATTTGGCCGGACATCCTTTGTGAATGGCCCCTTAGTATTCTTTATATAAGGAATACTAAGTAGGAAGTGTTTTATCAAATATGAAACCACTGCATGTAACATATTATACTTGATTTGGTTGGCAAAAAAGATCATGAACCTGTTAAGTTATCCGATAAACAATAGAGACTTAACGACGATATTTTCTGATTGTATTATATTAAGTTTGTACGCCGTTTAGGGGAAAACTGATACTACGCCGGCACGCCAACATTAGCATTTGCACGCCGCTGCGCCGTAGGGCATCGCAACTCCACGCCGAAGATCTTCGCGTTTGGCTACATGGAATGCACCTGGTATAGCATGGTTTCGAGTGCAATTTGGATATAACATGCACGAGTGAGATTTTCAAAGACCTCAAAATAGCACGAGTCCCAAGGACGAGTGCTATTTGAGGTCTTTGAAAAACTCACGAGTGTATGTTTATCCAAATTTTACGAGAAACCATGATATTACTTATTAATAATTTACATAAAAATGTTCGAGACAATTGTAGTTTTAACTTACGCGTTTTACATAGCGAACATTCCACTGGCAAAGTTTTCCTGGCTTTGTTATATCACATTATACAACGCTAACAGCTTGAAAATTCCACTCAACTATGTAAATTTTGTTAGTCTTTTTAAGGTAAATGCTTTTCCTTTTAAAAATGAAGATAAAAGCCATATTTTCCACGCGAAGGCAACGTTTTTATTTTGTGTAGCGCGGCGCCATGTTTGTTTTGTTTTGAAGCAATCTGTGACCGTTACTTCTTTAAACTAAATACTTTAAACTGATTAGTTGATTTAATCATCACAATGTTTTTCCACCAATCAGATCAGTTTGTTACAGATTTTTGCACTGTGATTACAGAAAATTGCACTGTGATTACAAAAAATTGCACTGTGATTACAGAAAATTGCCTCTCTCCTCCGCAGCGCGGCTTTAGTTTTCTTAGGATTTAATATTACGATGAGATACATTTCACTACACTTTACATGGCGGATCTTAGAACACGAGCGGGAAAATTGCACTGTGATTACAGAAAATTGCACAATCATGCTGTTTGGGATTAACTGCACTGAAATCAACCAATCACAGTCGAGTAATATCTTTATGTATATTATTAAGCCGGTTACAGATGAGTAGGTTTTCTATAGTTTTATTCGTCAATTGCACGTGTTTACCTACAATAAATTTTCTATGACAAAGTTTTAGCTTTCTGACCGTCACTATATATTACTATCCTAACTACTAGAAGTTACTAACTTCGGCCCCGTTTACATGAGACCGGGACGAAGTCGAACCGGAATGAAAATTGAAATTGTCAACTTGTTCACTTGAGACCGGTACGAAAATCACGAAATTTTCAATTTATTCATCTTGCCAGACAATTTTCTTTTTCAGATGTCATTTGTTAGCATGTGTTGTTCCAATGTCAAGGTTACAGCCGCGAGACCGGTCTGAAATGTACTTGCGTTTAATACATTCATCCCAGTCTGAATTCTTGTCGGTCTAACGCCCCAGTTACACGAACCGGATTCGTATCGGAGCGACATCAATTTAAGGTGTTTTCCAGTCTTGCCTGCTCTTACAACTTTTTATATCTGAAGCTTTTGTTTAATTATGTTATATTATCATAATTTTAAGCGCAAAATTCATCTCGAAGCAGTAAAATTTGATGTCGCTCCAATGCGAATCCGGTATCGTGTGTATTTATTTTATTAGGTCCAGCAGGCGGAATGACTTGAGACCGGTCAGAGTTATTTTCGTCCTGGTCTCATGTAAACATCTATTATAAATAATACTATGACCGAAACGAAATGGTCCCGGTTTGACTTCGTTCCGGTTTCATGTAACAGGGTTCGTAGTCTCCAAGACCAAAAACATTTTTTCTGCCTATTTTCAAAAACTGTATTCAAATTTAAAGACTTTCAAGGATTTCAAAGACCGCTACGAACCCTGTGTAAATGGGGCTTACTGTCACAACGAAAGTGCTGCCTCACACCCAAGGGATCAAAGGCAGCATGCGCAATCCGTTGCTGAATAAAGTCTGGTTTCTATATGGTCGTAAAAATAGAATAACGATCTTTCTCAACGGCCAGTTTATAGTAGTTTATACCTGTAAACCATGCACGTATAACTCATAAGTATTCTCTAGTTATAATCACTCAGCGTATTTTCAGTTCTAAAATGTTGTACTTCGGCTGATGAGAAAGATCGTGACTCAAGCTTTACGAATGTTACGACCATATGGACCAGGTTTAAAGCCGGTTTTCCACTAGCGAATTATTTCGCGCGAAGAGACTATTTGCTTTTGTCCTTGAGCTTTCAGCTGCATGGAACCATTTGCAGATCTGGGGCTGGTTTTTCGAAAGCCGACTTTTGCTTAACCTTAGGTTAACCTAAAATGCAAACCAAATCTCCTAGCAGCTTGTATATAAACTTGGAAATATTTCTTGAGAAATCTTTTGCGGATCAGTAGATATTTTGAAATTAACAGACGCGCAGAAATACAGAAACTAAAACAGCGGGTTAAATTTTAACCGAGAGTTCGCGCTAGTTCAGTTTCAAACAACTGGCCTTTGTAACAGCTGGCGCGTTTTTACGCTCATACTTGAGGACCAGTAAATCCCCAAATTCGCGTCGCAAGTAGAGCTGCTCCCATCGGTTCATTTTCATGATAGATTAATATCGATTATCCGTATTGATTAATTCATTTAAATTTGACATGTGCCTCCCTCACCCAACAACTCAGTCTGTATTTACGTTTCAAATTATTGTTTACTCATGAACGGTATAAATTGCGCACATTCTCGCGCACGCAGAAGTCACACACAAGTAGACAACTGACAAAAATAACGATATTAGTTTACGTTCTGAAACTTCTAAATGATACTATAAAGGCCCAGACACAGCGAATCCGATTTCGCAACGCAGCGCGATTTTTCATTTTCAGAAGTTTATAATAAAACCGCCTATGGAACGAAATTTTAAAAGCTATGCAGACCAAATGACTCAACATGTTATAGCGCTACTAAATAACTGAAAACGTAAATCAGGATCAGAATTATCGGAAAGGAAATACTGACGAATCTATCATGCTGTGTAGGGTTGTTTATTATTCCGATTATTATTAAGAGGCAACTTTTTTCGAAACCTAAAATCGTTTTGGTGTTGCTCTTTAAAATTACTTTGTTTTAACTTTATTCTGTGGCTTGCACAGTTAGCAACCTTTTTAAATGTATCTGGCAGTTGAGAAACACAAAATAATAGTTAAATTATATCAATTTAAATACAATTATCATTGATGCTGTAAAATTGACGCTATATTTATACAGCAATATAAGCAAAACTTACCGAACTTTAAACATGATTTTTTTCTTTGGCGTACCACCTATAAAGTCTCTTCGTTTTAGATTTTACAGATAAAGCACCAAACATAGTTTGAAAATTTGTTTGCCGCTTGAGAAACGTATTGAAAATTTTAAAAATTGAATATAGCCATACCCACAGGTGGAAAAGTATATTCATTAGTTTTGAGCGTGTGTTACGCATGCAACATACAAAATATTATCCTCTTAAGTATAATCGATTGCGGAAAAATTATCGATTAATTGATCAATCGATTAATTGGGAGCAGCTTAAGTCGCAAGGTAGTAAGATTTACGTTATTCACAGTTATGTTATTCACATCCTGTCCAGCCTCACACACAGAGGCTTTCCAATGCTTCTGTGACCGGTAAATGCCCCGGGTTGATTTCCAGTACCGAAACAAATATCTCCGCGGCTTTTTGTTTGTTTCCAATTAGTTTGTTGGCATATCCTAGAGTAGAAAGAGCCAGAGAATACTCTGGAGTTAATTGAAAGCGTTCAACATAATTCTCCAATCCAAGCGCAACTTCTTGGGCTTTTCCCACTTCATTCAATTTCATATAAGTTAAAATTAACTCGTAGAAAGCGTGGACTTTCACTGTGATGGTAATACTGCCACTAGTTTCAATCTCACGACGAAGGTAAACGTCGATCGACGGCTTGTCTACGTCCGTATAGACCATAGGTTCGTCACCTGCTCTTTTAATAACATTTTCAAAATGTTCAACAGCTTCATGATAACATTCCAATTCTAACAAACTTGACGCAAACGACCATTCTTCAAATATTGACAATTCGGCAAACTCTTGAAACAGCTCCTGGAACAAATCTAAATCATGGCTCATCAGCCGTTCGCAGGAATCTTGGTTTTCTATATCACCTGTTAACGCTTTTGATCGATAAAGCTCATTCAGGGTTGCCACAAGGTCTTGGTCAAGGCTCAAATCCGCATCCAGTTTAAGGCATCGTTCATAACACTGAGTTGCACCATCAAGATTCCCTCTTTCGTGTTCCATTATCCGTCCCAACGAGCGGAAAATGTAATATTGATTTGCAGAAGAATATCGTGCAAGGGTTGCGCATTGAGCATGGAAGGGCTTGTCCAGAAATCCCTCTTTAGTTTGAAGCATTGCAAGAAATTGCGTGAAGTATGTATCTGATTCATCTCCTCTACCCATTTCCACTAATTCATTTCCAGCTAAGCGCAAGCATGAAATTTTCATTTCGCTCAAGTCGGGTGATTGTGTCTCGTTCGTGTAGTATTTCAGTGCCAAGGTGTATTCGTTAAGCATGTAATACAATTTGAAAATACTTGCTGGAGATAACGGAAGTTCACAATTCTGAAGTTGCTTTCGGTCTTCATCACTCAAAAGAGACAACAACTCGCGATGGCAGGCTTCGATAAGGTATGTGATACTGGAAGGAGGTTCCCTGTGAATTGCATCATGAACAACTACTGGGTTAGCTGTCAGTTTCTCGCACGCAGATACCGCTTCTCTTTTCTTTCCCATTTCAACAAACACTCGGAACATTGTGTTACACATTTCGATCATATCGG